CGCTCTTCAGGGGAGGCGATACTCAAGACAGAGCGAATAATCATGATGTAAGACAAGATAATGCATGGTGTATCGATCCCTGTGGACAGGAGGAGCCCAAATAATCCACAGATGTTATTGACTCGAGTATCTGAACAAGCTAATTTAATCACATCTGGATGGTAACAGTAGGAGTGGGAAAGGGCATTACCTCTACAGAAAAAGAGAGGTTTAAGAAGTGAAACTGGTGGTACTACTATTACCACAGTACGTATAATTATCAAGAGACCCATGTGAATGATTCTAGAATTAGTGAGGATGCTGGTGTACCTCAGAGGGTTACAAATTGCTACATAACGGTCAAAGGCCATAGCTACAAGCACTCCTGTTTCCATGAAGGCAAATCCATGAAGAAAAAACATCTGGATGATGCAGGCATCCAAACTGATTTTGTTTGCATCAAACCACAGGACAGCTAGTGTTGTTGACATTGTGGAAACAGTCAAGCCCAGATCAGTAGCTGACAGCATGGAGAGGAAATAGTACATGGGCTCATGGAGACTCTTCTGGGTGATGATGACAAACAGGATCATGCTGTTCCCTGAGAGGGCAATGGCATAGAGACAACAGAAGGGAATGGAGAGCCAGGCCTGGACAGACTCTAGACCAGGAATACCTGTCAGCAAGAAGGTTGGAAATGAAGAAGTCAAGTTCCTTAGACTCTCCATGTTATTCCTGAGCTGTAGTATTTTTATGCAAAATGTTCACATCCTATAGAAATGATAAATTATTATTTTAAAAACATCTAAACATCCTTTCTTTTTGTTATGATAAGAAGGGTCATGCCAGATCCTAAGCCAGTTCTCTATCATTGAAAAAATTAGAAATAAACCTTCAATTTTAATTTATCTATTAAATCAGGTATATTCAGCACATTTAAAAAAAAGTATTTTTTATGATCACTGATGATATCAGAAAATCCAGTTAAAAATAACTAAAGAAAATAACTTCATATAATTCTGAATGTCTCACATTTGAAATTACTGGGGGAAGCAAAGCTAGAGAAACCTATGCTTAACCTAGTCCTCAAAGACAATGTTCTACTTTGACGTGTGGTATCTGGGATCTTAAACACTCATGAATGGCCTTCTAAGGTGCAATATTGGTCTCTCTATGTGTGGATAAAAGAAGAGTGATGAGAATCAAAGATGTATGTAATCAATAGTCCAGTGAACTAATGGAACATAGACAAGAGTCTCCATGAGACTGAGACCAGAAGAACTAGATGATGTACAACTACTACTATCAACTGAAAAGGATCACAATAGAAGGTCCCAGATAGAGTGGGGAAAAATGTGGAACAAAACTCAAAATTATAAAAATTACTGGGTTTATTGGTCATAAAGTGTCTGTAGGAACCCTAGACTATGACTCTCAGCCACCCCTCAGATCTAAAAAGGAACTCACCTTTGTGCTCAATTTGAAGGCAAGCAGCAGATAGGTATATAGGGAGAACAATAACAGTAGGATTGTATGCTCACCATGGAACTGTCAACCATTCAAAATTAAATGGGCAACATTTCCCTAAGGACAAAGCTGAGAAGGAATGGGAAGGTGAGTAGAATGGAAATAGGAGCCACAGCAAGGAAGTGGGATGGAGGGCATTGCAATCATTGAGATGAAACAAAGTGCATAATTTGTTGAATTTAAGACTGATTATCTTGTCTGTAAACTTCCACTCAATTCACAATAAAAATTTAAAAAACATTAAATCCATGCCTAACATAATTCACAAAAACAGTGTTCTACCTCTTACTTCAGTGAGTAGTGATTGGGTCTTAAAAGCTTGGGAGAGACCATGCAAAGTACATCAACTGATCACCCCTCATTCAGAAACAAGAAGTGTGAAGAAAATCAGAGTCAAGGAAACAGTTAGTTCAAAAGTTTATAGACCACATAACCTCAACATTAACAACTCTGAGTCTAGAAGAACTAGGTGGTGACGACCTACAATGCTATCACTCTGAAAGGGATCACCACAAGGTCCTGGAGAGAGTAGGAGTGAAAATGTATCAAAACTCAAAAAGATCAGCCTTACTTGTTTGATAGAAACTGACCCAACCTCTGAGACTATTGTCTTTAGGCACCCTTCAACCCTGGAACTGAAGTCATCTCCATAGTTCAACTTTCAGTCAAACAATAGAGAGGTCTATAAAATTAATAATAATATCAAGGATATAAAAACCCCTTGAAATAATCAACTATATGAGATAAAAAGGACAGCTGCCCAGAGATAAAGCTCAGCAGGCAAGAAGGTATAATGGAGAAGGATGAAGGGAAATGATATACACAAGAACGAACTGGGATGAGCACTGCTTCATTGTGAGGATTGCAATCAATGTACAAAACACAATGTGTATGAATGGTTGAATTTCACACAATTTGCTCTGTCAATTTTCACCTAAATCGATGGCACTTAACAACAACAATATACATATGTTGTTTGTCATTGAGTCAGTTGTAACTCATAGTAGCCCTATGTAGGGTTTCACAAAGTTAATTTTATCTAGGATTTAGTTATCGATATGTGAGAACATTTCCAAAAAATTCTGTGAAAAATGGAATTAAATGGAAATAGATTATTAAATGAACTTTTTGAAGCTCCCTAAAATAGAGAAATTTCCATGTGGGTGTGTATTTTTTTCTGAGAATATAGATTTGGAAGCTCTTATTGTATATTATTTTAATCAACTAGAGTGGGGGAACAATCTCAGAGAGACTTTTCAAGTGAAACACAGTGAAGATATAAGTCAGCATAAGTTTTGAGTAAGAGTATATATGTGAAAACAGTGCAGTGGCTCTTTAGGATAAGCATGGGACTGTGAACCACAAGGTTGGCTGTTCAAACCAACCAGCCTCTGTAGGAGAAAGATGAGACTTTCTGCTTCTGCAAAGATGTACAGCCTTGGAAACCCATGCTTTACAGAGGTGCTATGAATTGGAACTTAACAACAAACAAAAAAATGTACACTAAAGGAAGATGAAAGTAGACAGTATTTTGGGAAGGATAAAAAGAAATCCGAATTTTTGACAATTATTTCAAAAAAAAAATCAAATTGCTTGAGAATCCAAGACTGATGAGAACAGAAAAATCAGATACAGCTAAGGCTACATTATTGACCCTGGAAAAGGAATGGAAGTCCAGTGATGAAATAACTGAACAACAGTCTTAGCAATGAAAAGAAAAAAATTAATATCGGAGGCACAATTCATATTATTTCCGCAAATTTGGCAGTGAAAGCAGCAGAAGAAATGATCCATGACCGAACGGAACTAAGGAGACCTGGTGTGGTGCTGTGGGTTAACAGGCTGGACTGCAAAGTAGGTTTGAACTACAAGGTCAGTGGTTCAAGCTCACCAGCCACTCCCCAGAAACCTTATACAGGGTCTCTATGGGTCGGAACTGACTCGATGGCACTTAACAACAGCAACAACAAAGGGAACTAAAGAAGGGATGAAAAATGTTTAGCAAAATGAGAACAATTAGAAAAACAAATGTATGTTTATAAGCTGATGTCAAATATATGATACACTAAAAGAGACTGGAAATATAGAAGAAAAATCAATTGCTATAGAGAATTCTTTAAAAAGTTGTTGTTGTTAAGTGCTGTCAAGTCAGCTGTGACTCATAGCAACACTGATAGGGTTTCCAAGGAGTGAATGGTGAGTTTGAACCACTGGCCTTGTGGTTCAAACTGACTTTAAGGTTTGTGCTTATTCTACAGCACTATACCAGAATTCCTTATTAAAGTGGTAAGTGACAAAATACAGAGGATGAGAGTAAATTAACCCTTAAAAGGATGAAGATTATATCAATTCCACTAAAACTATAAAGTAATTGGTAAGTTGGTAGGTTGGTAGAGAAGCTCAGGACAGAATTTTTGCCTGGTGTCCACTTTTTCTGTGTGAAACATTTGGGGGAATAGACTGCTGTGAAATAGGTATGAAATGAGGGATTCTAGCTTGAGAATTAAGTAAGTATTTCCATAGACCTTTTAGGAATGGGAGAGACAGTTCACTTAGTGCACACACAATGTCATAAAGCATAGTTGTGTTAAAATGAAATATACTTATATAGAATATCTTTACATTAAATTCCAGAAAGATAAAATCAAATAATAATGATAATAGTCAACATTTTAAAATCCTGGGTGACAGAGTTTAAAGTTAAAGTCCTGAAAGTAAATGTACTGTAATAGAGAACTGTATGTCAACATGCCTTTTATGACAGCTTTTTCTTGTTCTTTAATCTCCAGTTCCCTAGGTTTCAGATCAGTCTGGAAAAAAACACACAAAACATTAAAAAGATTTAACTACAGACTATTAGGGAGCACATATCTGGGTTATATGATCTTTCAGGACAGGGTGGATTCTAATATCACCTGAACCTTCTGTAAAATCATCCGAACAACTGAATAAGCAACAAATAGTAACGTAGATATAGTAAACACCTTTCTTACCAGTTTCATGGGGAAGGGAGTCTTCTCTGTTGTGATCAGCAGAAAGAAAGCAGGCTATAGTTCCAGAGCCATGACCTTTATAATAAGGCAGGACTCGGCTGTGAAGCCAACAGTAGGATATGAATCATACTAGCATTATACTCCACGTGGGGTCCTATGAACTACCTAATATTTCAACCTTAAAAATGCAATTTGCCTGAAATTTATAAGGCTATGGACATAGACAAACCAATCTCCTTCTCTCTTCATCTATGAACACAGGGCAGGGCTGTATAATCTCAGGAGGGCTTTTGTTACTGACTCAATTGATCAGTGTTCCATAGGGATGTGAAATGCAAAACCAAAGAAGCCAAATCACATATGTAAACGGAAAGTTAAGATTTAGTTCTAGTCATTGAGGAATAGAGAATACAAGTCATATGTAGCCCAGTCTGAAGGCCAATTATGCAACCCTAACACATTGACTCAGAGGGCTTATGATAAACCCATACATAAACTTATCTCTGTCCACTTGTTTCCAAGGAAAGGGTCATATCCTGACACATTAACTGTTCTCCCTTGTGCTAGTGGCCAATGTCAAAGTTAAGGAATGATGAGTACTCATCACGTGCATGTCTTCTTTTGTCCTTATTTGCTGTTTTTCTTTTGGTAACAATCTCCAGGGCTAGGACTTTTGGGTGAAATTGGCCATCCTTTTCAAGGTGGGCAGTTGGATAATGGGTGCAGAGTACTTTACAGCTCTAGTCAATCTAGATTCGTAGGAAATGAGGAGGTCCACACCTAGACTTTTGCATCTGTTTTATAGAGAAGCTTTACATTTGTGGGAGTGAGACTGTGTTTGCTTAGATATCAATAAAACAACTAATTTGTTCCTCATTTAATGATAGTTCTTTGATTTACATTTGGCTATTATTTATATGCTTTCTCATGTGAGAATTCTTAATAGCAGAGTGTGTGGAATTACATACAAGCGCTATAACCTCTTCTGGAGCCCTGTAAGCTACCTAATATTTCAACCTTAAAAATATTTTGCCTTAAAGTTATAAGCTGTAGTAGGGAAGAATTAGAAGTTTCTTTCAGCTGCCTTCAGAAGCATTGAAATCTGACTAGGTTTCTATCTGACAGATAATAAAATAGTACCCAATTACCTCTGCCTCGTTATATGAAGTCATGTGTAATCCTCTCAAATTTGGGCAATACTGTGATTTATTTCTAATAAATAGAAT